GCGCTGCTGCCGCAGCCGGGCCCGCCGCCCGCCCGTGCCGGGCGCGCACTGGCCGCGGGTCGGTAGGCCCTGGACATTGCGAGGTACAGGTCTGCGTGCGGGCTTGTGGGGCTTTCGCTTGCGCTGCGGTTCCTTTGGCATTTCTCTGTGGCTTTTTGACAGGAAACAGTAGGGAGTGAATACTGATAGTTTAGGTTGCATGGTTGGTGTTGATCCGGCATGGTTCTGTGTTTTGGGAAGATCTTGTCGCAGAGCGTTATTCTTTCCAAAAGTTTGGGTTGTCTTGTAGGTAATTTAACATGTTAAAGAAGCGGGTTATATCTAGTGTTGTGGTTGCCGTAAAGCCAGTCTGCTCCTAAAACTGCTGAAATTGGTTAAGGAAACCATTTTGGGGCACATTCTGCCAGTTGCTAAGCTTCAGTGCTGTATAGTTGAGCAAATCTTTCAACGTTTCTGAGCATCGCTTGCGGATTTGCCTCTTATGACAGCTTGTCATAACTTAGTAGCATTAAGACATAAGGTGCTTGTTTATGTTTCTTAATGGATGTGTTTCTTCTGCCTTGATTGGAAGTCAGGCAAACAGATAAGTAAGGGATGGTTTATTTACTTTTCTTCCACATAGACGGGGCTATTCAGAGACATGTAATGCTTTGCCAACTTGACTAGATTTATTTAAAAAAGATGGTTGGTGATTTGTGTAACATCCTTCTTGTGGGGTTATTTTTATCTGTCAATAGCACACTTGGTTTTTTACTCTTTTTGTAGATAGCATCTGCTGAAATTAGTACTCCTGTGTCTATGAGGATGACTAGAAGAACAACTAAATCAGTTCATAAGCCAGAGGTAATTCAGGAATCTCAGTTTGAAGAACTGGAACATTCAGAAACAGATGTCAGTGATAACTTAGAGTTGCAAATTACTAGAAATGAGAAAACAGCTGTTCATTCAGTACAAGCTGATGGGGATGTGTCAGAAACAGAATCTAACTGCTCTTCTGTGTCTGGTCTTCAGACACCTTTGTTTGTACGAGTAACAAGAAGACGACAAATTGTAGTTCCTTATCAACCAGATTCTCCTGACAAAAAAAGATATGACAAGACAGCTTTTCTAAATAAGTCAACAAAGGTTCTGGATGACGATGATGTCTCTGAAGCCGAGTCTTGTTCTTCTGCTGTTTCTGGTGTCCAGATACCTACCAGAACCACAAGAAGCATGCGAAGCAAAAAGAAATTGCGAATGGATACAGCTGATGAAACTGAGAGAGAAGATATTTCTGATGCAGAGTCATGCTGTTTGAGTTCTTACATGGAACCATCCAGCGCTCTGAAGCGAATTACGAGGAGCATGCAAATGAAATCACAAGCAGAAAACACCAAGCAGACTGAGAAAAGAAACATAATTGTTTCAGAAAATTATAATTTAATTGAGGATACTGTTAAATCTGAGCCAGTAATAATTTCTGATTCTAGACCTGCTGCAGAACCCATCTGTGATGCAAAAGATACTTCTTCTGTCACTGAAGATAATAAAGAATCCAATTTACCTAAAAGCAAATATTCTTCCAAATCTGGCAGCATAACCCAGAGCGGAGACGTGAAAGAAGAGGTTTTGAATGATATGGCACCCAGTAGCCTTAGAAAAATGAAAGGAAATGACACTGAATCGCCTGGGAAAAAAGTAGTAAAAAAACCACAGACAGTTGGGGTAGATGATTCGGAGGAAGCATTTGGCCAAATACAAGAACAACACAGGAGAATACTTGTGAAGGAGGGGAAATCAGAGTGTATGGTTCTTTCTTTGACTGATTGCATGACTCCCAAACAACTTTTAGCATCCAAAGGACAAATAACACCAAATGAAAGAATAAAAAAAACAGAATGCAAAACAGCAGCTGCAGAGCAGTCTTTTACCCGGGCTGATAAATTAAGAGAGGATGAGCGATCCAGTGCAGTGAGCAGCCCACAAAAGGACACAGCTGTTGCACAAGGAACTGGTAGCACTGGTACATGCAGGATACTGGAAATAAGTGTAGGCAGTGATGAAGACCAAACAGGAGAATATGCTCCATCTGTATCCCGCAGCAGTGAACGATCAAGCATTGGAAGCAATTCTCTTGCATTGTTTCTGAGCAAAGATGGAAGTGATGAATCTGAAAATAGTGATGCGGCAGACATAGATACAGCTGAAGATAACCTGTGCTACAAAGAGGCAGATAAGAGGACTCCTTCCTGCAACAGATCTTTAAAAAACAGTTCACTGCATGCTGAAGGGCTTTTTGTAATTGATACTGAGCCTGGCATGAGATCCAGCCAAAAATATTACCTAGATGAGATGGACCAAGGTAGTGATGCTGAAAGTAAGCATGAAAGAACTGAAAAAGTTGAAGAATCTTCAGATCTGGAAGAGGCTGAAGAGGAATTGATAGATGAAGATGACAAAGATGAAGATGATAATTTGTTGAAAAATAAGAATGACATGTAAGTATTTTTCTGGGAATAGCTGAAGAATCTGCATTTCGTTCAAGCAAATGCATAGGATGTGTACATTAGCTGCTAAATTATGTGGAATAACTGAAGAAATAGTCTTGTCACATAAGTCTGATGTGGAAAGTGGGGTTGCACAGATTATAAAAAATAATTACAGTTCATAAGTTACGGGTTTGGGTTTGTTGGGGTTTTTTTGTCGTTGCTTTTTATATAGCAGGACAGAACTCTGAAATATTTAGGCATCTGGAGGCTTTGTGTGTTTTCAGCTTAAAAAACAAAATGTGAAGCTGGGTTAAAGTGGTCAGGCTGACTTAGTTGCTTATTCACGTCACAGTTTTCTTAATTGGTCATCCTTTTAGCTTGGACATACATGGTCCCAAGTAAAAGTCCAGTAAATTCCTTACCTAGTGCTTAATGAAATCATGCCTTTTCAGTCCTAAACAGTCACACAAACTTTTTATGTTTTCAGTTCTTATCGATACATTCCTTTAGTTGTTTGAATGAAGTAATGAAGAAGTGAAACATACTAGTTTTAAAATATTTAGTAACATTATTTCTAGTACTATTATACAGGACTTAATTCTAGGATTAATTCTAGCATCTTCATACTTTTCACTGAGAATTTACTATTTTTATCACCCATGTGTTTGTCCCTTTGTCATTTTGTTTTTCTCTTTAGCAAGCAAGTTTCTCAATGTGCAGGAGGGTGCTGGTCACGAGTTACTTTGGCAAGGTTACACGAATTATTAATTCAGCTTTAGACAATATAGTAATATCTAAGATAAGAATCCTAGCATTAGAATTAATATGAAATATTTGTAGAAGTGATTCCACAGGTATTATTCTTTATTAAACGTATTACTTCACATAACAGCATGATTTTTTTTCCCATCATCTTCTGTCACCTCTAAATTATACATTTTCTCTAGATTGTGAGGCTTAAAATCATTGCAGATCTGAACCTAAGTGGGAAGACTTAAGGAAACTATAGTTTCTGTTTATCTTTCTCAGAGGACAGTACAAGATTTAGCTGCATGCTTGTTACAATATTCTAGTAATTAACTATTTCCCTTTTAGTTTACATCTTTCCAGCAGCATAGACCCTGGTTTGAATATCAAGAAGCTTGGAGGTTTATATATTAGTTTTGATGCAAAAAAGCAAAAGCCTAGATCGAGCATAATGAAGCAACTGAAGGAGAAGAAGGAGGACCAGGTAGTGTGTTTACAATTATGCAGTTACTTGTGACTACAGTAATACAAAGATGTTAATTTAATAAGATTGGGTTACTTTTTTTTAAGTAAGTACTCTCTTGTGTGGTTTGCTGAGAACCTCCATTCTTTTTGGCCTAAGTATTTTGGCCAAAGTGTATTTACATTTGGTTTTAATGGCAAGAATTTAAATATATGTGATGCTTCAGAAACTGAAAAGCAGTGCAGATTCCAGCATTATCCTGTAACGTGAAGTTGATTATGCTTGTATTTTTGCCTAATAATACATGAGCTGAAGGTCTGCTAACAAGGTATCCAGTCCATAGCAAGATTAAAATTCAGTAAATACAGGTCTGTGCTATCCCTAATATGGAATTAGCAATTTTATTTCAAAAGCACACCTTGAGATAAAGCGAATCATGTTACTCTTGCTGTGACTGTCTCAGGCTCGTCCATGATGACTCTCTCTATTCTGGAGCATTTGCTATCTCACTTCTTCCTGAGCTATCTAGCTGCTTTCTGTTGCTGATCAGGGCTGTGTTTTGAAGGTCCTTAGGACCTTCATTGTGGGTCAGAGAAGCTAAAGAATTGTATTGTAATTCTTGCTTAGATTCTGCATGATTCCTTTGGAAGGTTCTGTAAATATGGTAAAGGAGTAGAATTTTTATCAGTGATATGATTGTCTAACATTAAAAAAATTAAATCTACAGCTGTTGCAGAAGAGTGTCATAACTCCAGATTTTGAAAAAAAGGAATGTGTACCACCCTTCAGGGAATCACTTCACCAGCTAAAGAAACAGCGCAGAGTAAGTGACGAGCAGATAATGCCTCAAATGACAAAACCAGCTCAGGTAGAAAGCTGGGGCTGTGCATACATGGGCTCACTGGAAGTGGAGTGATGAACTGCAATTTTAATGTCTTCCTTGAGCCATCCTGTGAAAAGCCATAATAAAAGCCATAAGTCTTTTAGTCACTAGGACAGTGAAGTGAAGGATAATGTGTGCAGATCCTACAAATCTGCTGTTAAATACAGTGCTGATGACCTTCTTCTTATAGAAGTTATAAAATACACTTTTTGAAGGTACAGAATTATGTTGTAAATGCTTTATCTGTCTTTTTTTGGGGAGGAGGGTTCCCTGCTCTACCCTGTCCTTGTTGCTGAATGCAAATTTATTATTCTTGGTATTGCATCCTAGGCAGAGCGAGAAAAAACAACAGGTGATGGTTGGTTTGGTATGAAAGCCCCAGAAATCACTAGTGAACTGAAAAATGACCTTAAAGTTTTGAAGATGAGAGCTGCATTGGATCCCAAGCATTTTTATAAGAAGAATGACAGAGATGGTCTACCCAAGTACTTCCAGGTAAGGAAGCAACAGAAAGTGACATTGTACTGCTGAAATTTTGAGCTGTTTTTATTCCCTGCTATTGTGTAGGTAGCCTCTATCTTGATCTAATTCCATAGCTTAATTAGTAAAGCATATTGGTCACTTGGCTGCAGTTTACAACTGGTTAACTCTCTGTTACATATGTGTATATCCTGTTTGGTTTTTTTTAATTGCAGTTGATCTTACAGTATTGAACAAACATTTGACTTAATCTTTTTTCTGACCCCTCAATGTACTAGGTTTTCACTGCTTTTTTTTAAGTATTAGCCTTTTTTTAACAAGTGTGTAGAAAATCATTAACATTTATTTTCCTGCTAGCTTATTTGTAGAATAAACAGGAGAAGTTAGAAGTCTGTGTGCAGTCTAAGGGCTATGATCTGGTGGCAGTTACAGAGACATGGTGGGACAGCTCCCATGACTGGAATGTGGTCATGGATGGCTATGTCCTTTTTAGGAAAGACACGTCAGTGAAGCGATGCGGTGGAGTTACTATTTACGTGAGAGAGCAACTAGGATTTATTGAGTTCTGTCCAGGGGCAGAGGAGGAGCAAGTGGAAAGTCTGTGGGTACAAATTAAGGGGCAGGTTGGCATGAGAGATACAGTTGTGGGGATCTATTACAGACCTTCTGATCAGGACAAGAGAGTTGATGATGATTTCTACAGGCTGCTGAAAGCAGCCTGGCAACTACAGGCCTTAGTCCTCATGGAGGATTTTAACTACCCAGATATTTGCTGGAAGGCCCACACAGCCAGCCATTCACAGTCTAGGAGGTTCCTAGAAATATGCATAATGAAATCTGCACATGACTCTTTTCACTACATGAAACACTGCATGTATTTCCACTACTAACCTCAATCGTCAGAACTGGCTAGCGTGCTGGTTGGAAAAAATGTGATGTGTTCCATGATTAAGCCCTTTTGCTAGAGCTGGATTAACTGCGGTGTATCCATCTAGCAAAACCCCCACAATGATCATAAAGGTTTCCTTTCCCTTCTTGGGGAAAATATTTGAAAGTTAAGAACTTGATTTATTTTATAAATACAAGTGTTGAGGCAGCAGTCCAGTGATGAAAACAGTACAGTTTCAAAGCTCAGGACCTCCCCTGTGCACTAAGCAATGAGACAAGAAGTGCCTCTGCATAGGAAACATTGCTTAATTCTTTTGGTATTTTACGCTTAAGATACCATTCTGACCTCTGTGGCTGTTTTTACACTTGTTGCTGAAGATGGGGGGGGGGAAAGGCAAAATAATCAACAGTGAGAACATTTTCATTTCTGTTTTCTAGGTTGGAACTGTGGTTGATTCTCCCATAGACTTTTACCATAGTCGAATCCCTAAGAAACAAAGGAAGAGAACAATTGTTGAAGAGCTGCTTGCAGATTCTGAGTTTAGAAGGTATTTACAAGCAGTTTTGCAATTCTGATATTCTATGTAAGAGAGGAGTATTTTAACTATGTAACTTTTTTTGGTTTTTATTCAGCTTATGTGGGATTTTTTTACACTTCAAAGAAAACTTTTTTGACAGTCTGTTTTAGCACTTCAGCAGCCCTGCCTTTGAGATCTAATGAACAGGGGATAATTAGACAGCATGTCTTTTAGCTTCACAAAAGGGTTTTATCCAACTCAGTTTGGTAGTCACATTTAAAATAATGTCAGTGTAACAATCAGCCCTATTCTGGTTCACTTCTAAAGTGTCTGCACAGGCTTATACCAGAAGCAAGGGCTTTGAATGAGTGATTTATGTGTATTTTTGTTGTTGTTTACAGACCGATTATTTTTTTCTTGGCATAATTGATTTAAAAGTGCTGACTGTAGTTCCAACATATCAGTCTGTCACCTGTCATAGGAACCAAAATTGCTCAAGAAGTCTTACTTGAAGAATATGATTGGATTAATTAATGTTTGCTAACCTACAATTTCTGGATCAGATGCCTTAGTTGATCCATTTTGGTATTGGCTATCACATTATGTTAATCTGTGCTTCTTTTGTCACATAGTGACGTTTTCATGGAAGAAGTACGTGATTTGGGATTATACGGTTAATGTCAGGCTTGTAAATGTGTATTAATGTTGGGAAGGCAAGTTAGTATAACTGTTTCTTAACTAATATGCTGTCTTGACCTGATTTATAAGGTAATTGTTAGAAGCCATTTTTAACAATGTCTTTGAAATTTGATCAGTTAATTTATGTTGTGGGTAATATGGGGCTTTGACCAGATACTTCAGCATTCGTGGAGATGCTTGTCAGGTGTCAGTCTTGCAATTAAAAACCTCATGATAGCTCAGTGTGCAGTGATCCACTGTGGTAATTGGTATAGGCACGTATCAGTAGTAGAGGAGCTAGCAACTCATGTTGTTAAGTGTATGCTCTTCATTGTTCAGTGTTAAATCTCATCTCAGTTTTCAGTCTTGAGTAGGTAAGGTTGATTATCTGGAGTTTCCTGAAAAGACAGTATAAAAATGGGTATATTTTGTATAAAGTGGTGTTGAGGAGTTTTCTGACTATGAGCAGTAGCAGGGTTTTAGCAGACTGTCCAAAGTGTGATTACATAGGCAACAAAGAGCACACTGGTTATGCCAAAATTAATGTTCCTTCAATTAAATTTATTTCCAAAACAAATTTACCTGCATTTATCATTAATGTGAGTGTTGATTTTGCTTCATCTATGCATAACTGTACAAAATTAAAGAAATCTGACTGGGAAAATACAAGAGAATTCAGTTTGGCTAATTATATATGTAGAGTACTTTCCATGTTATTTTTTCCTGAACTTTTGTTTACTATGCTTAAAAGTAAATTATCTATTTTGTTCAGATATAATAAAAAGAAGTATCAGGAGATCATGAGTGAAAAAGCAGCTTTTGCAGCAGGGAAGAGGAATCGGAAGAAGAGGAAATTTCAGAATTAAGACTTGAAGAGAAATAACAAGCTGGAACAACTTATTTGTTATAAAACTTTTTACAGAATGTTTTGATTGTGTTTTGGTGTTTTTTTCTTTTTTCAGATTTGCAGGTCATGCAAATTAAGGTCTAGGGAATTTGGTAGGGAGCTTTATCAAATTATCAGGTATCTAAGTTTAAAATAATTTAGACTTTTAAATTATTTTTAAAAATGTTTAAAGAATGGTATGAAAATATTTAAAATCTAAGCGCAAATTACAGCTTTGTGGACTGGAGTCTTTTCAGGTGTCCTTCTTTACATCAACAAATTAGTAAATTCAGTTTAAAGTTACACGTTATTCACCTTGACATCCATTATAGGCCAGAACAGATTTTTCTATGGCTGGTCAGAGGTGTTGCTGACCAATTCTGTGACAGAAGGTATTGAGAAATAGTTTGGTTGTGAAGGGTTTATTTCAACACTAACCATAATAGGGTTGATAATTCCTGGAATTCAAAATATACATATATACGTCTATTTATATTTATATTATAATGTATAAAAATATAAACCGATAATAAAGAAGATGCAAATTACATATTGTTTAATAATTTACATATGTATTACTTTTTCATAAAATTTCAACACTCAGTCACATGCATTTTTTATCAATTTTTACAATTTAATAATTGCCTTAAGATCTTTTTGAAAGTAACTTAACAGTGGGGTCCATTATCTAGTAGTGTGCAGGTAGTGGTTTGGTAGCTGATTGCAGTAGTTCTTCAGGTGAATAACAGTCTGGAAGGCCTCTGCCACCATTTTAGAACCAGAGGTGGCATCAGTTCAGTTCCCCTTTGTGAGATCCATAACTTGTGAGGGTTTGTGTGTGTGGCAGGTGCCCATGTTCTGTGAGCAAGTGGTGAGGTGCACTGGCCTGTGTTCACTGTGCTGCAGGGTGGAACGTGTAGGTTGTGTTTCCCAGCTTGTGCCTTTAGTTAAGGCACTGGTTAGCGCACCTTTTCTTAACCACTAATTTGCATAAAAACCCAGGTAGGTGGTATTTTGGACTCTAAATTTGATTGAAATTGACATAAGGTAGATTTATTGCACAGCCAGTATCCCAGGAGAGCTGAGTGCTCACATCTAGGAAGAACCCTGCTCCTTGAAAACAATTTTCTCTTTCTTCTGGACTGTAGCCTTTAATAATTTCTGCATGTTTAAAGTATTAATTATGTAAACACTGCTTGCAATGTGCAAACGTGTATATGTAAAAGCCTCTGCCTTCCAATGTTTTTTTTACTTGGAACTAAGCACATTTTCTGAAGCTCTCCTTAATAAATACAGGAAGTAGAAACAGTATTTGGATTTAAATGGGTTGCTGGCAGTGACTGAGTGAGGAGGACGTTTTGTCTTAACTTGGTTTCGTTGCTTTTCATGGGGTTAATGTGGAGAGGTTTTGGTTTTGCTATTTAGGTGCAAATTCTGAGAAAGTTTGATGTTTCTGTAAAGGGCTCTATATTTTATAGATAGATGGCATTCTTGAGTGAGTTGCTGTGCTGCAGAACAGGGACAGTGGATGTTCCTGATGGTGTATACAATTATGTGGATTTTGCCTTTATTGCTTTTAAGTAAATATTATTACAGTTTGAAAGAGAGCCTGTAGTCACACGTGCAGGACTGAAAATAATCAAACCTACAAATTGAGTAAAATAATCTGGTGAATTTATAATTGATTGTCCTGACCAAAACCAAGGGGGTTTGTTTAGTGCTGCTACTGTTTTTTATTTTATCACCCACGGTTTTTTATGATTCCTGATACTCGAGTGGCTCGTCATCTATCTGTAGGTATGTGTGAGTTGGGAAGAAAATACTGCATTAATGCAAGTGTTAAATGTTTCGGGTTTGCCTGCTGCGTTTTGTGGGTTTGTTTTGTCGCTTGGGAAGAACTTCAAGCAAAACGTGCAGAGCTGTATGGTGGGTCGTGGCCCAAGTGTCCAGGAGGGAGTCGGGCTGCTTTTCCAGCAGCGTTCCCGTCCGGAAGCCGCTCCGGAG